ACCTGGCAATGGGGGGGGGGGGGGGGGAGGAAAAAGCTATTGAGCATCACAGCTCCAAGACGCATTACAGAAGTTTATCAAAATTATTAATCATTTGAATCTAACTTGATAAAGTGATGTTTACTTTGCCTGAATGTGAAAATTTTCTTACAAAAGTGTAGCAATATTAATGTGAATTAACAAAATTGTTGACTAAAAAATGAAGCTTGATGGATAGAGCTGTCTCACAATTTCCTTATGATAAAGAAGCTATTTAAGGCATTCTTACTGTAAATACTATGGCGATAAAGACATATGGACTCCCCACTCCAACTTTGCCAATCCTTTGTACATGACAACAAATACATTAGGCTGACCCAGAATCTAGACCGTCATAGTTAGACATAAACACAAATGGCTTTGATTAGAAATTTTTCAGAAATCTAGATAGCATCAGATTTCCAGAGCTATAAAGGTAATCTCATCAGTACAGTTAACAAATATTTATTAGTACCTATGAGCAAGGCACAGTGGGAATGTAAGATTTCAGGAATCTGACAAACTCAAGGAAGATTCATTATAGACAAACTGAATGTTCAGAAGGACAGCCCCCATAATCACAGTGTCCACCCAGGAGACATGATAAAATGCTGGCTAAGGGTGAATAGCCAGTTCTGGAAGCCGATTTAAATGTGATGGGTAATAACAAACCATTTTAGGTCCAACCTCTTTCTCACAACTCTCCTGTAGAATCCTATCAAACAAGTTGTTTTTCCAATCCTCTTCTAGAATCTGAAAGGTAGCTGGTCTCAGCCACACTCTATATTTTCTAACATTTGATGGTGTGAAGTAGTAAATAAAGGCCCCTCAGTAATTTTTATAGTTAGGAGGAGCTCCAGGGTGGTTTCAGTCCCGTGAGGTAACGGCACCACCTTTGGCACATACTATGTGTGACATGGGTGAAGAATACTGAATACACCATGAACTGCCAGAAGAATGAACGAATTTGTCTTGGAAGAAGTATAGCCGGAATGCTCCTTAGAAGTGAGGATGGACAGACTTTGTCTCTCGTACTTTGGTCATGGTATCAGAAGGGATCTACCCTGGAGAAGGATATCATGCTTGGTAGAGGGACAGTAAAATGGGGAAGACCATCCATCAGCAAGATGGATTGACACAGTGGGTGCAACAATGAGTTCAAACATAGTAAAGACTGTGAAGATGGCGCAGTACTTTATTCAGTTGTACATAGGGTTGCTATGAGTCAGAAGTGACTCAGTGGCACCTAACAACACATGGGTCACTGTGACAGAATTCTTTTCCCAACGTGGCTTCTCTGATGTTGAATAAGGTATGAAGTTCGGGTAAAGCCTTTTCCACATGCATCACACTGATAGGGTTTCTCACCAGTGTGAATTTTTTGATGTTCCATAAGGCTTCTATTTCGAGTGAAACTTCTATCACACTCATTACATTTATAAGATATGGGAGCTTCAACATTTGCCCACTGGCTTTCCATTGTACTCTGACTCTCCCAGGTCTCTCCATGTTCAGAATTCTGAATGTTTTTATCACCACCGTGGATCCTCTGATGTCTCAGGAGATGTGAATTCCGCCTAAAGGCTTTGCCACACAAGTTGCACCGGTAGGGCTTCTCCCCAGTGTGGATTTTGTGATGTTCAAGGAGGCTGCAGCTCTGGCTGAATGTTTTCCCACAGTCGTCACACTCATAGGGTTTCTCCCCAGTGTGAGTTCTCTGGTGTTTGATAAGGTTTGAACTGTGACTGAAGACCTTGCCACATTCTTCACACTCATATGGCTTCTCACCAGTGTGGACTCTCTGGTGAATGACAAGGGCAGAGCTCCCGATAAAGGTCTTGCCACAGTCTTCACATTCGTAGGGCTTCTCCCCAGTGTGGATTCTCCTGTGCTTAGTCAGGCCTGAACTCTGAGCAAAACTTTTTCCACATTCATGGCAATAATGCCTCCTGCTTCCTATGGTATTTTTCTGCTTTCTGTGAAACCTGCTCTCATGTTCAACAGCTTCTGCAAATGGAGGAATATGGGCAATGTCTTCACTCATATGTAATGGGATTTCCTCAGGCTCTTGTACTAGATGTTCCTCATCAGGAGGCAAGTTCCGGATCTTAGTTTGCATTTCACCACCTGAAACAACAAATGACTGGTGACTATCAATTATGCCCTATCATGGGAGGAAAGCTCTGTGAAAAGTATTGGAGAGGCAAGGCATCCAGTGGTCTACATATGTCAGGTATGAGGATTGGAGTGCAAGAATGAGCACAGTCATAAAGAAGGAAAATAGGAGTGCTTGGGAAGAAAGAGACCTGAAGCTGGGAATAGGATTAGACACTAAAAGGGCTGAGAAGAGGCCACAGCAAACAGGGCAAGTGAAAGGGTTTCTGAAGTGTTCTGTAAGAAACAGGGGAAGAAGGACTCAAATTGGTCACCGTCCTGTGGAAAGAGAAGTCATCTCTGACTTTGCCAAACCGAACTGGCTTTGGTGCTGGAGATCTGAGCTGGAGAACCTGCTGTGACAAAAATGAGCTGTGTGAACTCAGGCAAGTAACTTCATCTCCGTACCTCTGCACCCTCATCTCTAAGGTTGCTTCTAATTCTCACATTCTGCAGTCTCATAGCCTATTTCCTGAAGAGACCTCTCAGCTTTCCTCCCCTGTCAGGCCCTAAGAAGGGAAGGAAAGGAAGACAATATGTACTCAGCATCTACTATGAGCATTATCTGTGCTAAGGGGATGTATCTACTATATTCCACTTAAGCTGACTAGAGAAGTGTCAGGGTAGAGAAAAAACAAGGTCAGAAGGGTTAAGGAATTAGTCACACAGTTGGTTAGCATTGCGGTTCAGAAATGGTGGTTCTTAATGCAAACATAATAGGGTTCCAGAGCTTCTAACATTCCAGAAGGTTCTGATTCAAAAAAAGAAACCATAAAAGAAATGAGTGCCCATCGTCTTACCCAAGGAAATGAGGTTGCTACAGTTCTCCTCCTTCTCATCTCCGCAGAGGTTCACTTGAGGTGAGTCCAGCTGTGCCCACCCAGTAGAGAGGGTCAGGGCTACATCTTCCACTTTCAGCAACCCCTGAAACAACAGGCAATCCCAACTAGTTCCTCTTGCCCCACAACCAAAAATAACCAAACTCACTGTCATCGAGTTGATTCTGACTCATAGCGACCCCCTTTCTGAGGTGGTAAATCTTTATGGATGTAGATTGCCCAGTCTTCTTTCCATGGAGTGGCTGCTGGGTTTGAACCACCAACCTTCTGTTTAGCAGTCAAATGCCTTAGGCACTATACCACCAGAGCAAGTCATTCCCAAACCTGGACACTGCATTGAGGAGCACATGCAAAGAATGAACATTCCACTTAAAGGGACTCTGCAAAAAAGAGCAAGAGAGGCCCTCCAATCAATCCAATACCTATTAGCCCTATCTTTAGTAATATACACACACACACATATACATATAAAATAAGCATTAAAGGAAGAAAATGTTAAACAGATTAGGGTGTTTTCATATAAATGCCTAGACAACAGTACAGAAAGTGAAAAGATTTGGAAAATAAAGATCAACATCATGGAAGGAGTGGATGACATCCAAAACTTTCAAAAGTTTTGTGTTGTGTTTTTTTGATATAGTAGGGGTAGGGACTCATTTATACTAATGATTTTAAAAATACAATTAAATCTAAGTCTGAGGTGAGAAAAATCAGGAAAATATGGATACTACTACAGTACCTCAAACACTGAGCTATTCAAACAAGACAGGAAAGAGTGGGTAAGAAATGAAAATCCAAGTAAGAAAAGATTGTGCAGATGGAATTATAAATAACTTAGACTTACAAGAACAGGCCTTAAGGGTCCCTACAATTGTGAGCTCCTTGAGGGCAGAGTCCATGTCTTTATGTCCCTCATTAATAGTACAGTTTATGATACTTTAAAAAATCAAAACAAAACAAAAGCACTATCACATTAAGATCCAAAGTTTACATTTGTTGCCCTTATTGAAGAAAACCCCACAGATGAAGGGACCAACCAAACAGATGGGGTAGGGAAGATCTGAGAAGCACAGATAGCCCTCCAAGCCAGTAGCTGGGTACCAAAAATCCTCTTAGTAGGGCACCAAAACAAAGATAGACAGTGATAGATCACCTTAGGATCAAAAAATCCCTCAAATTCCATGTTGATCTAAGATTGGTATGAAGGCAGAGTGGGGAGGGAGGGCCATTCATGGGAAGCCCAACAGTAGTAAAAAAATGTTGGGTGAGAAGTGGGGGAACGCCAGCTCACCTGGGACGCTGGCATGAGCCTGGCAGTTACCACTGCATCTTCTCTACAGCTTCCTCCCTGGGCAAGGACAGGAACCTGCAGGACTAAGAAGGAAACAAGTATGAATGAGAGCTACCCTGGCATTCAGTCTCCCACCTTGTGGAATCCAGGTTCAAAAACTGGACTAATAAGTTTCTACCAAACAAATTTATATAGAGTGTGTTCCGTCTCAAAATTCCTGATCCCTACAACCTCAACCCTAGGACCTAAAGAGAGCTGGTATGCTTCCGCAGAGACAAAAACCATGGGCAGGATCTTCGGTAGGAATAGGAAATGAAGGCAATATAAGAGAAAAGAAAAGAAAGAAAAAATAAAGCTTTCCATTTGAAGATCCTTTAATTTTGAATTTTGCTGGGATAGGAGAATAAAATAACAATGTCTTTAGTAGCTGTTAGGGTGCTTTCTGCTTTGGTTTTGAAAAACGAAGAGGAGTCAGATAAGGCTGAGTCTAGAAGGTAACTAGAGTTTGCTTGCATAGAACTTGCACAGATTCAAGGGAGAGAAAAGTGAAGAACCTCAGGTTTCCCTATAGGAAGTAAATTTTACAAGGGGCAGAAAACAAATTGGTTTAGGCTCAAATCTCTGTTGAGAAATAAAGATTACATGTTGGCTGGAGTGTCCTAATGTTGTGTGTCTTGGGAAACTTCCTAAATATTCACAGCGCATGAGGGAAAACCCTGGAAAATAGTTTCCTGTGGAGTGACTTTCATGCTGTTCTAATAACAGACCTAGAGCTTAGATTTATACTCTTTAATGTGCAACATTCCTATGATTTCTGGAATACTCTAGCTGGCTTTACAGACTCTGCCTTGTTTTCTTCACAGAATTTGCCACTATCCAAAAGTCAATTATTAATTTATCTTTCCTACTAAATATAAGCTCAATCAGAGCAAGGATCTGTCTTAAGAATGGCTCTATCCCCAGTGCCAACGACACTGGCTATGATGTAGGAAACCTCCATAAATATGTTAAATGAATGGAGGCCACTGTGTTCTCTCCCAACCCCAATTTTAGTAAAAATCTTATTTACCATGTCTAATTTGGTTAGGAAAACTTTCCACCATTGTGTTTGAATGTTTGAATGTCTGAATTTTTAGTCTCAGTCTCAAAATAAAGTTGATTCATGATAGGTAACTGGAAATGGATCTCTCAGGTTATGCTTAAGTGAAATTAGATAAAGGCTGTAGAATTCATACTTCCCAGAAGATAGTCCTCACCTCTGTTTTGTAAGGGCTGGGACCCCAGAGCTTCATGCTTGAGCAGAGTCTTCATTGGCTGGAATTGGCTACTTTGTGATGCACGGGCTCTTGTCAACAATGCCATCTTGGAACAAAGCAGTTCTTGCCCAGGGTCTCGAGCTGTGACCTGGAAATCGTCCAGTTGGTTTATTTATTCAATAAACATGTCTATCATGCTAGTACTCTTTATTTTTCAGGCACTATTTCTAAGAATTTTACAAATATTAACTCATTTAACACAAACAACAACCTTACAAAGTAGGAATTACTATAGTCCTCTTTTTACTGAAAGGGAAACTGAGATACAGAAATTTTAAGAAGCTTAGCTAAGATCACCCAGCTAGTTAGTGGCAATGCTAGAATGGGAGTGCTCACAGAATCAGAATCCATGCTCTTAACTGTTACTGTGTGCTCCCTTATTATATATGCGTGTGCTTTTACGAAAATCCTTTTGGAAATGGTGTAAAATTCTTAGAGAATACTAATACCTTTCCTTATCTGAAAAAATGAGGATAATAATTTCTAGCTTTTAAAGTTTTGGAGACCAGTAAATAAAATGACAATATGTGAAATTACCTAACATAAGGCCTGGCACATGCTATGTCCTAATTACATACAGTCTTCCTTCTGAATATTTACAGTTAAATTACAGTTTTCAAGTCACATTCATGATCATTAGCTCATGTGCAGCTAAGAATTTCCCACATGCTTGAAGAATGAAGAGCCTGAAATTGAAAGATTTGAAAAGATTTTTCACTCTTATATGGCTTGAGTGCAATTATTCCATGCCTAGGAGCTCTGGTGGTGTAGTGCCTAAGGCATTTGACTGCTAACCAGAAGGCTGGCAGTTCAAACCCACCAGCCACTCCTTGAAAGGACGATTGGGCAAGCCACTTCGGTAGTGATACCACTTCAGAAACCCAAGGGCAGTGCGTTTGGTTTGTTTTGGATCCAAACCAAGAAACTTGGTCTCTTGGTCACAGGCTATAAGGCTTTAGTGCCTAAGGCTTTTGACTGCTAACTAGAAGGCTGGCAGTTCAACTCCACCAGCCACTCCATGGAAGGAAGACTGGGCAATCTACTTCCGTAGTGATACCACCTCGGAAACCCAAGGAGAGGTTGCTATGGTTGACTCAACTCATGGCTTGTTGTTGTTGTTACGTGCCATTGAGTCAGACCCGACCCATAGAGACCCCTCCTTGGGTTTCCGAGGCAGTATCACTACGGAAGTAGATTGCCCCACCTTCCTTCCGGGGAGTGGCTGGTGGGTTTGAACCGCCAGCCTTCTGGTTAGCAGTCAAGTGCCTCAGGCACTGCGCTACCATGGCAGTGAGTTGTTTTTGTTGTTTTTCTAGTCGTATGTTCCCTGAGGGAAAGTTCTCAAGGACACAGGAAAACACAAAAAGAAAACAGTCTCAAAAAACTTGCAGGAAGATGCAGGTAAAAATGAACTGTTTCTTAACCAATGGTCCATGGACTCCTTCCCAGGTGGTCCATAATGTGGAAAGGAAAAAAAAATATATTTTTTTTTTCATTTTACTAATATCTAAGTAGGAGCTCTGGTGGTGTAAGTGCCTAAAGCACTTGAGTGCTAACCAGAAGGCTGGTGGCACGCCTCCGAGGGAAGGTTGGGCAATCAACTTCCGTAGTGATACCACCTGGGAAACCCAAGGAGGGGTCACTATTAGTCGGATCCAACTCGAGGGCAGTGAGTTTGTTTGGTTTTGAATATCTAAGTGAAATTTCCTTTTATTATGAACACAAGCAACAAACCAAGGCGGTATGAGGTGTACCTGTGCTTTGTCACCAATAGAAATTGCAGACGTTTTCACATCACATGACAACCAGGCAAATATCCTTGAAATCATCATGGTTATCACCACTTTGAAATTACCAGAATTGTTAGACTTGTCTCTAGATTTTATTATTTATTGCATTAATTAAAAAAAAAAAAAAAAAAGCGATCACAAATTTGTTTAATATTTTGCTAACTGTATTTCAACATAACTGATTGCCTTTGGAGTCCTTTATATTTTGTTTTACGCATTCAAAAATATTATTCTGAGAAGGGGTCCAGGGACTTTACTGCCAAAGATGTTCATGGTACAGAAAAAGATGGAGAACCCCTGAATCTAAAGGAATGCCCCTCACTCCAATCTTGAGATTTTAGGAAGAAAGAAAAAGGTCTCACATACTAAACCAGTAGTCTCTACCTGTGGCCTCGGTTCATCCAGCTGCTCCTCCAAATACTCCAACAGAACCACCACCTCCTCCCCGCTCTCTGGATGCTGCTCCCGCACCCAGCTCTGCAGCGCCCCCGGCAGGATGGTCAGGAACTGCTCCAGCACCAGCAGCTCTAGGATCTGCTCCTTGCTGTGCACCTCAGGCCGCAGCCACTGCCGGCAGAGCTCCTGGAGTCGGCTCAGCGCCTCGCGCGGCCCGGCAGCCTCTGGGTAGCGGAAGCCCCGGAAGCGCTGGCGGGAACGCTCAGGGCCCATTCTGGGGCTGCTTAGCAAACGGGCCTCCTCTGCAAAGCAGGCTTCCTCCTTCTCCACCTTCACCGTCAGGAACCCCGTCAGGTCTTCTGTAGACTTGGCGTCCGGGGCTGCGCTTGCCCTTGATTCCCTTGCCATCCTGGGCCAAGACAGTACTCGGCCCCCACAATAGCGGGGAGCAGTATTCTTGTAGAAGATTCCTGAAAGGTGGGAAATCGCTATTACCCAGTTAATCTGCAAGCTCTCTCCTCTCGCGTATCCAGGGGCCAGAACGCTCCCGGACACAGCTGCACAGATTTCTCCCTGTAGTTCGTGCTTTTGCAAGAGGCCTTCTCTGCGCCCCACGTTAAAACAGGTACCGCAAAGGATGCCTTGGGGGTGCGAGTGAATATCCCACAAACGCGCAAGAGAAGTTGAGGTTGGAGCACGGGAAGCACTGGTTGGCACCAATGCGATTTCCTGGGCCTTCTAGGAGGCTCCTCTCGTTGGTTTTCTCCGAGTTAACCCATTAGCAAACGCGTCCTCACCTGCAGTCAAGTGACTGTAGTTACGGGAAGGAAAAAAGAAAGGACGATAGACAACTGGATCAAAAGAAATAAACCAAAAAAATCAAAAGGGGGCTCTGGTGGCGTAGTGCCTAAGGCATTTGACCTTTTCAACCCGTGGCATCCACTGGGTTGACAGTAAAATTCAGCTGGAAAGCAGGCTTCCCCAGAGCTCTGGACAACTGGACAGAACCTTTAGTCTGTCCCAGAAACAGCAAAGAAAAAGGAAACAGCACCAGGCATTTGCCATGGGCAGAGTAGCGGCGGACCCTGGTTCTTGCCCCCTCCAGCTGGTGCTCTCTTTTCTCCCCTTCAGGACAAAACTTCTTGAAGTAATGCCCTATGGTCACCAACTCTAGTCTTCACTTCCCAATCATCCTTCAACACATTGTAAGCAGCAAACCACCACCAACGCCGCTGAGATCTCCTGCAGAAGTAACTCTATATGCTCCCTCTGGCTACCGCTGCCTGTGGTCACCATTCGAGACGGTGCTGTCCCCTTCGAGAAACTCTTTCATCCCAGGCTTCAGGGATGACATTCTCTTGTTTTCCTCCTTTCTGTTTCTTCCCATCTCCCTTTCTCAGTCTGGCAGGGTGGTTACGTGCACAGACTCTCAAGCCAGGCCACCTGGGTTCATAATCTTAGCTTTACCACTTACTAGGCGGATGACAGGAACCTCTGGTGGCGCAGTGGTTAACTCCTCAGCTGCTAACCGAAAGGTCGGTGGTTACACGGGTGGGAGATCAACGCGGGAAGAAGAAAGATACGGTAGCTTGCTTTTGTAAAGATTACAGCTTTGGGTCGACGTTGGTGTGTGTGTATGTGTGTGTAAGAGAGAGAGAGAGAGAGAGAGGGAGAGGGAGAGAGACAGAGAGAGAGATTCGGTTGGACTCCACGGGTAGTGGTGGTGGTGATGTGTGATTCGCAGACAGCCCCCTTGGACTTGCTTCTGCGGCAAATGCCCTTGGCAAAGGGTTTGTTTTTTTTGAGCTGGGTGACCTTAGTAAATTACTTAACCTCTCTGTGCCTTTACCTATCTATATATGGGATAGTAACAGCAGACAGGAATGTTGTATGCATTAATTGAATTTTTGTGTAAAGTGCTTAGAAAATGCCTGGCCTATGGTAAGCTCGCCCATCCTCAAAGGGAAAGAAGCCTTGAGATTCCTTAGAACCAGATGGGACTAGATTTTAAACCAGAATTGACTGTAAAGTTATTTGACTCAGGTGGGATAGCCACAAGATATTTTTCTACCTAGTGGAATGGAGGGGCTAGAAAATGCAAGGTTGGCAAATAATTGGGAGTAAAAAAAATGATGTAGATATCTTCCTGAGTTCTTGTTCTTCAGTCTATCCTTCCATAGTTAAAAGAACAAGTAAGGGAGAAAATTTAGGAAAAGAAAAGGCTCCATCAACCATTACAAAGGAAAAGTACCAGAAAATATGTCTATGATTTGACACAGGCTATACAGGGCACAGCCCATGATGTATTTTTGGCAAAATAAAGTGAGCATGAATCTAATTAAGTCTCTAGATCCAAATATCAGTGTAAAGGTGAGACAGAGAAGCAAGTTACCAGTTTTTAAACTTTGCTGCACATTAGAATCATTGAGGAGCTTTAAAAATATCTAGATACCTTGTCTGCAACCAAGATTGATTAAATCTGAATTTCAAGGGATGGGACTCAAATCAATAACTTAAAAATTTCCTAGGTAGTTCCAACATGCAGCTAATTTTTGGAACTGATGAGTTAAATGCTACTGAAAAGAAGCACTCAGCCAAATCCAGAGTGTGACATTGGACAGGACAGAACATCCGAGTTCTTCAACAAACATTTTTAAAAAGAGTAGGTGAGCATGTGCTGTTTTCTTTCTTCTTCTTCATTTTTTTTTTTTTTTTTTACTTTGCTATTAATGCTTCAGTGAGATGATATCTCGTGGTTGTTTTGATTTGCATTTCTCTAATTTTGCTAATGAAGGAGCTCTGGTGGTGCAGTTCAGCACCACCAGCATTTAAAGCATTCAGCTGCTAACCAAAAATGTCAGTGAGTGGAACCTGCCAGCCACTGCACAGGAAAAAGATGTGGCAATCTACTTCCCTAAAGATTTACAGCCTTGCAAACCATATGGGACATTTCTATTCTGTCCTACAGGGTCACTTTTAGTCAAAATTGACTAGAAAGCAGTGGGTTTTGGTTTAATGGCTAATTATCAACAGTAATTCTTCATTTTAATGTAGAATCTGCAAAACAGCACATAACTTGGATGAACTTGGAGGACATTATGCTGAGTGAGATAAGTCAATCACAGAAGGACAAATATTGTACTAGTCTGTTATTGTAAAAGTCAAGGAACAGTTTATATATGGAAGGAAATTTTCTTTGTTGGTTACCAGGGGTGGGAGAGTAGGGTAGGGAACATTGTTAGATAGGTAGAGAGAAGCATTGATTTGGGTGAAGAGAAGGGCAATGTACCAAATGTGAGTGGTCAACATGGTGGCATTGAGGAAGAGGAAGACATAGAGAAGTATATGGGAGATGCAGACAACAAAGATGAACCCTTTTGCACATACAGTACTGTGTTGTCAGTGAAGGCAAACATAGGTACACATGTGGATAGATGGGTGGACAGGCTGAACTATTAGGTATGTCTATGAAGCGGGGAGTGTACCCAAGATCATGTATAGGGTTGGCAGACAATGGTTCTACAAGGTATTTATACGTTCTGTAAGAATTCCCAGGTGTATAGTAAAGCTGACAAAGGAAAAGTTTGCACTTCTTGGTCATAGCCAGCTACACAGAGGGAGTGAGTAGTTGAACCTGTGGGCTTGGGACCATAGTCGCAGGGGACATCAAGCTTGACATCAAGCTCAATTGGCATAACATACTACACAAAACATTGTTCTACCTCCTACTTTGGCAAGTAGTGACTAGGATCTTAAAAGCTTGCAAGT